TGGGGATAATGAGGGGAAGGGGTTTGTGGAGGGGCAGGGCTAGAGTGGGAGGACTGGAGGGAAAGGGGAAAGTGCTGACGGATGCTAGAGTGAAGGGATTGGAGGAGAGAGACTAGGGGTTGGGGCAAGGGTGGGGTGGAAGGCTAGAGTGAGAGGGTGAGGCTAAAGTGGGGGGGCTTGAGGGAAATTGGAGGGGCTGGACTGAGGAAGAGCTACATGGTGGGGGGCTAGAGTGAGGGGGAGGGGATATAGAGGCAGATATGGAGTGAGGAGAGAGGCTACTTGGAAGCTAGAGAGGGAAGGGACAGGGCTAGAGAGAGGGTAAGGGGCTGAACTGGGGGGACACTCGAGGGAGGGAGACAGATTAGCGATGGGAAGAGGTACTAGCGGGAAAGGGAGGGTCTAGAGAGATGGAGGGGTTGGAGCGAGATGTGTTTGAGTGAGGGTGTGGGGCTAGAGATGGAGGGGAGGGCTAGGGTGTGGAGCTAGAGATGGTGGAGGCTAATGGGAGGGGGAGGGGCTAGAGAAATTGGGAAGGTCTCGAGAGTGGGGCTGGAGTGAGGGGAGGTCTAGAGGGAGGGACAGGGTTGGCATTCCCAGGTGAGACAGCTTGACAGCCTTGCTTTGACTATTTACAGAATTAAGATTAAATTTTCTTAGCTTCAAATTACTGCTTCAGAATTCTAACCAAACACTTTTGGTCTGGAGTTTCCAAACCAAAACCCTTACACTGAGGAAATCTATTTTTGAACTGCTCTGAACTAATTCCTTTCTCCAGGACAAACTGTTTTTATCCATGATGCCAGCCAGGTCTTCTGTGAGCTACACCAATAGCTTTCCAATCTATGGGTTTTCTCTGAGCAAAAGAAAAATCAGTTCTTTAATTTGTACAAAACCAAAAGGAAGCTAATGCCTTCAATGTTTGCTGTATCCAATAGTATAATTTTCATAATACAAACAAATTCACGTTATCCTTCCTGGGGTGCACCAATCAGCTGCTCACTGAGACATACTGCTTTAAAAAAATAGCTCCAGAAGTACTGACAAGTTGATCGTCCAACTTCTTCAAACACAAAAAGCAAAACTCATATGCCATTAGTTTAAAATCCAAACTCTAAAAGTAATGTTACTAATATTTATAAATCACACAGTTTTATGTCAAAATATGACTTCTGGAGTAGTGGGCCTTGATTAGCAGTACATTCCTCCCATTAGAGTCATAACAATGTCACCATTAGTAAACTGTATTCTATCTTCAATCTTTTCAAATTGAACCAGCCGTTATCATGGTTAACCACATCTTCCTCCTCCATCCTCCAACTGGATGCAACTGCACTCAACCCGTTCCTATTCTCCAGAAAACATGACCTCACATTCCATCTGTAGACATACAGCTTTACCTCCCTGCTAATTCTCTTGACTCCTATACTGTCTCTAAGAAGTCAGATGTTTTGCCCAACATCTAGAGTTGGATGAGCAGAAATTTTTTACAACATTTTGGCAAAAAAGAACAAAGGCATTATCTTTGGGTCCACGTTACAAACTCCATTCCCTGCTTAATAACTCCAAGTTGTTTGCTGGCAATTCTTTTACTGCTGAACCAGACCGTTTCAATCTTAATATCTTATTGAAGTCAACAACAGATCTAAGACAACGCCAAGATTCTCAACTTCAATCTCCATAACATCTTTTGACTCCACCATGCCTCAATTCATCATTTGCTGAAATCTAATCCAAATCCCCTGGATTTGACTATTTCAAATACTCTTTTGGCCAATATCCACTTTCCTCACATTCCGTAAACTTTAACTTATACAGAACACTGCTACCTGAAACATACTCACATCAATCCTGTTCATCTAACACCCCCCTGGTAATTGAAATACATTGGTCTAGCAACACCTCAGTTTTAAAACTCCCATCTTTCAAACCCTCCAGAGCCTCTCCCCTCTCTATCTGTACAGTCTTTTCCAGCTACAGAACACTCCAACATAACTGTAATGATGTCCATTAAAATGATAAGGAAAGTGTCCATTTGAATCATTGATTCTGCTTGATCCCCACGTTCAGAAATTCTCTCTCTCTCTCAACTACTCTTGAAGTGTTCAAAAATAACATAAGTTGTATTTTATTTACTTGAATAGCTTATTCTTACTTTTGCTTTCTCCCATGGTCTCTCTATTAGTTTTTTTTTCTTTATTCATTCATTGGATGAGAGGCATCGCTGGCTGGGCAGCATTTATTGCCCATCTGTAAATTCCCAAAGGGCAATTAAGAGTCAACCACATTGCTATGGGTCCGGAGTCACATGTAGGCCAGACCAGGAAGGATGGCCGTTTCCTTCCCTAAAGCACGTTAGTGAATCAGATGGGTTTTCCCAACAATTGACAATGGATTCACAGTCATCATTAGATTCTTAATTCCAGATATTTATTGAATTCAAATTCCACCATCTGCCGTGGCAGGATTCAAACCCAGGTCCCCAGAACATTATCTAGGTCTCTGAATTAACAATCCAGCAATAATACCACTAGGTCATCGCCACCCCACTAGTCCAATCTTTCTTTCGGTTTTCTATATCCACTTTGACTATAAATCACTCTCTTCTTTTTCCATTATAACTCTGATTCTTTCCCAATATTCTCTAGTTTCAGAAGTGAAGGCAATGAAATGTTGGACCTGTCATCACTGACTTCACTATGATCAATTTACAGCAAAAATATTTGAGCAGTCAAGTGAGAGAAAATTCTAGTTAATAGGGCACGCTCAAGATATCCCACTAGAACAAATTCTGGGCTATTCAACTGGCTACCAGATTCTGCAATTAGCATCTGCAGCATCTCATAGAGTCCCTACAGTGTGGGAACAGGCCATTTGGCCCAACTAGTCCACACTGCTCCTCTGAAGAGAATCCCATCCAGATTTGTTCCCCTACCCCTGCATTTCCCCATGTCCAACCCATTTAACCTAAACATCCCTGGTCACCATGGGCAATTTAGCATGGCCAATCCACCCTAACCATCTTTGGACTGTGGGAGGAAACCAGAGCACCTGGACGAAACCCATGCAGATACAGGGAGAATGTGCAAACTCCACACAGACAGTCACCCGAGGGTGGAACTGAACATGGGTCCCTGGTGCTATGAGCCAGCAGTGCTAACCACTGAGCCACCGTGCTGCCCCTAATGGCTACAAATGATTTACCTGGCACATTCAAAAAACTACATGACAACTAGAATTGTTGGAATCACAATTATATACTTTTATTCATTCGTGGGATGTTGGCATCGCTGGCTAGGCCAACATTTGTTGCCCGTCTCTAGTTGATCTTGAGAAGTGGTGATGAGTTTCCTTCTTGAAGCGCTGCAGTCTACATGCTGCTGCAGACCCAGTATAGCAGCTATATCCTTTCGGACCTGACCAGCTCAATCAGTCGTGTTGCTGCCGAGCCACTCTAGATGGTGGACATTGAAATGCCCCACCCAAAGTACATTTTGTGCCCTTGCCACCCTCAGTGCTTTCTCCAAGTGTTGTTCAACATGGAGGAGTACTGATTCATCAGCTGAGGGAGGATGGTACATAGTAATCAGCAGGAGGTTCCCTTGCCCATGTTTAACCTGAAGCCAAGAGATTTCATGGGGTCTGGAGTCAATGTTGAGGACTCCCAAGACAACTCCCTCCCCATGTGCTGCCATCTCTGCTGGGTCTGTCCCGGTCTTGGGACAGGACATGTCTTGGAATGGTGATGGTGGTGCTTGGGACAATGTAAGGTATGATTCCGTGAGTATGATTACATCAGACTGTCGCTTGACTCGTCTTTGAGACAGCTTCCCAATTTTGGTGCTAGCTCCCACATGTCAGTAAAGCGGTCTTTGAAGAATCGACAGAGCTGTTTCTGCCATTGTCTATTCCAATGCCAAGTGGCCTTTCTTGAGACTTTGTAGTGATTAGGGTGGCATGGTGGCTCAGTGGTCAGCACTGCTGCCTCCCAGTGCCAGGGACCCAGGTTCGATTCCACCCTTAGTTGACCATCTGTGTGGAGTTTGCACATTCTCCCCGTGTCTGTGTGGGTCCCTTTTGGATGCTCTGGTTTCCTCCCCCAATCCCAAGATGTGCTGGTTAGATGGATTGGCCATGCTAAATTGCCCCTGGTGTCCTGGAGGTGTAGACTATGTGGATTAGCCTTGGGAAATGCCAAGTTATGGAGTGGGTCTGGGTGGGATGCTCTTTGGAGAGTCAGTATGGGCTCAATGGCCTGTTTCCACATTATTGGAATTCTATGACTCTGACTGAATGGCTTGCTGTGCCACTTCTGAGGATAATTTGAAGTCAACCACATTGCTGTAGGTCTGGAATCACATGTAGGCCAGACCAGGTGAGGTTGGCAGATTTAATCCCCTAAAGGACATTAGTGAACCAGATGCATTATTCTGACAATCAACAATGGTTTCATGGTCTTCAGTAAATTCTTAATTCCAATTATTGAATTCAAATTTCACATCTACCATGACAGGATTCAAACCCAGGTCCAGAGAACGGTAGCTGAGTTTCTGGATGAGTAGCCCAGCAACGATACCACTTGGCAATCATCTGCCCCTCTCTGACTAAGTATTACTTTAATTGTGCTGAAAGTAAACTATGCATTAATCATGAAAAGGATACATCTTAATATTGGTTTCAGTTCATTGTATTATACAAAAACAACAGCCTTGCATATAGCCCTACTAAACCCAAACTTACCACTTCCTTTTTCATTTTACTTATGATTTTATGAATTAGGATTTACATATGTGCCCATTTTTATTTTTTAGTGTATTAACTTGGATAGTTAAACCTTCTGGTAAAAATAGCCACATGAATAAAGGCTAGGCACCAGCAGATGGCAATGTAGCCCCATGATATAAGAAGGGCATTGGGAATACTAAACATGGTACGTGGGACGATGAGAGAGGCAGATGTAGAGGATTCAGATGTAGAGTTCAAGAAGGTGTGTTGCCTACCTGTGGCCAGATAAAGGAAATCTCAAAGCAATGGAAGAAGAACTGGTGAAGGCAGGAGAGAAATCTGTTTGATGTTGTCCATATCAGAACCAATGACATAGTGGGTCAGGTTGTAATTTCAGGAATACTACCCTGGTCATGTGCTAATCTATTGAGCAAGTTGAAAGGAGCAAGGCGGGGAAGAATCATGTAGAAATTTCATTCCTGTAGTCTAAAAGAAGTAGGAGATTGAGCAGAAAAACAAAATCAGACCAAGGGATAGAATCAAAGACCCATGAAAAGTTATGGAGAACAGAATATTGCAGAAACAAGAACAGAAAATGATGAGAGCACTCGGTTGGTTAGACAACATCTGTATGGGCTTTATCCGACAAAGGAGCAGCGCTCTGAAGGCTTGTGATTTTAAATAAACCTGTTGAACTATAACTTGGTGTTGTGTGACTTCTGATAGCATCTATATTGAGAAAGACAAAACAGAACTAACAGTTCAGTTCTACGATCTTTTGTCAGTACTGGGAAAAGTTATAAATGTAAAAGAAAGTGTTAAGCAATGAACAGGTGAGACAAGGACAAAGGAAGGTCTGTGATAGGATGGAAGACAAGGCAGATTTAAAGAAAAATGTGAGTCTTTCAGGGCCAAAGAAAATGGTGGGGATGGGGCTGGAAGGGCAAGAAACAAAGCAAATTTAAGCAATACGCTTGTTTTTTTTAAGATTCAATGTCTCTGCTGAATTCATAACTTCAAGATGTTGCCTGTCATTGAATCTGGAAGATCGCACACCGTGACTTAATATCCTCAAATTTCTTCGAAGGGACTGCTGTTCTCAACAGCATGCTGACAATGTATAGCCCTTTCCCCTGCTTATATGTCATGTCCAGATGATATCTCTATAAAGAAAGGAAAGTTCTTGAGAGAGGTTCTCTGAGTTGGCTTGTGAACAGACTCCACTGGCACTCTGTCTCTCCCAAACTGGGTTTGATTGAAATCCTCACACGCAAAGCCAATAACCAGGCACTTTTTCTCTATTTGTGTGTTGAATGGTTCAGTTGGCATTATTACCCCGGATCCAAAGGTAACTGATTATCCTTGCCGCATAATGATTACCATAAAGCCTGTCTCATTGCCATCACACAAGGTGACTTCTGTTGTTACTGTATGTTTGATTCCAGTGAAAGCTGCTTCCTGCTCTGTCTCCCAGTATCACACTGTGATGATAGATTAGGCAAGGACTTTGCTAAATAATTCATGAATCCAACAAATCTTTGCACTGTTTTCACATCTGTGGGTCACTGCACCTTTGATACAACTGTCACCTTGTCTGGATCCAGGTAAAATCCTTTTGATGTCAGCACATGACCTATGTAATTAACTTCAGGCATCTTTGATTGCATCTTTTTCTTAATCATGTTCAGGGTGTCTCTAGCAGTCGCTCTAGATTCAGATTGTGGTCTGTGATGGCTTCTTCCATTGTATCCCCTCATCCACAGACTAGCAGATTATCCACAGTGGTTTCCAACCCAGGAAGGTGACTGACCATCTGGTGCTCTCTGTGTGGATACACTTCTAGAGCAGTGGAAATGTCAAATGACATGTACAACTGTCTGTATCTCTGAAATGACATCCAGAATGCAGTTTTACAACTGCTGCATTCAACTATCTCCATTTGTCAGTAACCATCTTTCTCATTGAGAGTAATAAAGACCAATGCCCCACCAAGTTGTGGCAAAATGTCTTCAATGGTTGATATGGATAGTGGGACCTCTTCAAAGGTTTATTGAAATCCTTAGCTGCTGAGGCAGCAAGCCAATCCTGATTGGTCGAGATGTTACCATGGAGAAAACAGTGGAAAACAGCTACATGTTCTCCGTGTTTCCAGGTAATCAATAATGGCTTGAAGTTTAGGCATATTCCTTCTGTTTGCAGAGCGCTTGACCTCACGTCAATAACAGTCTGTCATTTCTAGACAATCAGTTGAGCTCATAAGATAGCTCGTTTACATTTGATAGAAGTGACAGTCTGCAAACAAGGGGAATATGTTCAACAGTTATCACGGTAGTGAGCATTGCTTTTTGCTTTCAGTCCTGCACATTCCTAATTACTCTTGAAGTGAATGACATGCTGGGCTGTTACTGAGGGCACATCATTGTGGGTTTGGAGTCACATATAGGAATGCTAAATTTCATTTCCTGAAGAACATTGGTGAACGAGCTGGGTTTTTGTGATTTCAAATATTTCATTTCCATCATTAATGCGACTGGCATTTCATTCTAGATATGCAAATGAACCGAATTTAAATTCCCCTGGCTCTGGTGGTGAGATTCGAAATTATTGAAGGTATGTCCTAACCTCTTGATTATGGGTGAATTAAATTAGCATTATCTGACCATCCCCAAATTGTACAGTGATAGTAATAACGGGACTTTATTACAAAGCTTACAACTGTCAACCTGCATAGGCGTCAAAAAAAAGATGGTTGTTTTAAGCGGAGAACTTAGATACTGATTCTCTCTAATAAAGGTCTGAGTCCAAGAAGGAGAGGAGCAAACAGAAAGTAATTGCTGTTTCTGGTGCAGACAAATGAGATGGACGGGAAAGTGAACATGGGGAATGTCAGATCATCCATGATTCTATTAAATCGTGGAGAAGGGGCTGAAGGGCCTTCCCCTGTTCCTGTTTCTTATGGTCTCATGGTCTTATGGATATGACAAGCTTCTTTGAGTGTTGTTGCAACGACACTCATCAGGAAAGTTGGGAGCATTCTATCACACACCTATCCTTTGCCTTGTAGATGGGGAACAGGCTATGGGAGTCAGGAGCTGAGTTACTCATATAGAACAGCCTATGACCTGTTATTGTAGTCACAGGTTGACTGGTGCAGTTCAGACATAAGGCAGAAGGTGGAACCAATTAGGAATAAAGTGGGTGATAAATGCTTAAAGGCCCTGATTTTGTCAAGGTTGCTCCTTTTACATGTGCAGGAATGCACATGGCAACAAATTCCCGTGAAATACTCCATGGAGATAAAATCAGAAAAAGTTTATTAAGTTCTACACAAACTACAACAATGTAGTCTGACAGTGAGTTACAGCTTAATGCAGGCTATACTATCTGTATGCAGTCCCAATGGAAAAGCGTATGGTTCCTCCTGGCACTTTGGTCTTCAGTCTTATTTCCTCTGTCCCTCTCATCTCTTGGGTTCTGGTCTCTGATTCTTCTCAACCACATTGGCTTGATTGGAAAAGCCTCTTTTATCCTGGCTCTTATCCAACTAACCCTTCCCCATGAGGATCAGCTCCAGTGCATTCATTTCTCAACCAAGCATGTATAGTCTATTTTAACTGTGCTAGTTGGAACATGCTCTCTCAGTACTAAATAAGAACAAATCGCAGCTGGAAATTGGGTGCAACAAGGCAGAGCAATGAACAGAGTTCAGTACAGTGAGGGTGAAGTGTTTTAGAACTTTGCAAAAAAGGGAGGAGTAGTCTGAGAGAGGGATTGAGTGACAGCAAGACCCCAGAGATAAAGCCTAGACTCACGGCTTACATGAGCAGGTAAGTGGTTGATTATTGAGTTTTAAGTTTATCTTTCTCTCTAATTAGAGGCAATACTGTACACTAGTACCAGCGAGACAGAAAGACGATATTAATTTTTATAGTTTACTGAATTAAAGTGCTTCATATAATCACAGATAATCTTTTATGTGAAATTTCTAAACCTAACAAGTTTAAATAAAGTGCAATAAAGATAGTTGGACAGGCGATGTGAGCCAACTGCAGTATGTGGGGTTTTCTTGCCACCAGTGTGATCTACAACAACCATGTCTGGAGTGAGTGACTGCATCTTGAGGAACCGTGGCTCAAAGTTGATAAACTGGAGTCAGAGATGCTGTGATGGATCAGAGTAAAGTTCTCTGGGCATTTTCTTTTAGATTGGCTCCTTCTGATTCTGTCTGTTGGCAGGAGTGTGATTGTAGAAAGAGCAGCTATAGGGATACACATGGTAGCAGTAGAGGAGCCTTAGCCTTTGTCATTTGCCCAACAGGTTTAATGTTCTTGGAGTTTGTACAAGACAAGAGCATGGACAAAGCAGAGACTCGTAGAGGTTGAGCAAACTGACCATGGCACAGCGATGCAGGGGACCATGCACATGGCAGAATACGAAGAAAACTATTTCATAGTAGAGGACAATATAGTAGGAGGTTGGAGACACTGATCTCTGTAGCCTAGAGCATGAATACAGAAGTCTAGATTACCTGCCCAATGCCAGGGTTAAGGACATCCTGTTTGGCTGGAGAGGAGCTTCAAGTATGACGGGAATAAATTCCAATTGTCATGGGCACCAAGAACAGAGGTAGAACTAAGAAAGAGGTTTCACTGAAAACATATGAGGAATTAGGGTCTAAAATTGAAAAGCAATCCCACAAGACTAATAATCTCTAAACTACTACGTGAGCCACAAGCAAATCGGCATGGGGTAAATACGATCAGAGAGTTGGATGGGTGCCTCGTAGATTGGTGTGGGAGAAATTGATATGAATTCACGGGGACTGGTACCAGTGTAAGGGAAAGGGGAAATTGTACCTTTGGGACAGACCTCACCTGAACCAGTGTCCAGGTAAAGTGTATAACTAGGGCTGTAGGAAGGGCTTTCCCTTATAGATTCATGGGAGATGGGCATCACCAGCTGGGCCAGTATTTATCCCCATCCTTAGGTGCCCTTAAGGAGGTAGTGGTGAGCTGCCTTCTTGATCAGCTACAGTCCATTTTGTGTGGGTAGACCCACAATGCCTTTAGGAAGGGAATGCCATATTTCCATGTCAGGATGTTGTGTGGCTTGGAGGGGAACTTGCAGGGGGTGGTGTTCCCATGTATCTGCTGCCCTTGCCTTTCTAGATGGAAGTGGTCATTGGTTTGGACGTTGCTGTCTAAGAAGCCTTGGTAAATTTTTGCAGTGCGTTTTATACATGATACACACTGCTGCCCCTGAGCATTGGTGGTGAAGGGACTGCACGTTTGTGAATGTGTATCCTGGATTATGTCAAGCTTCTTGAATATTATGGGAGCTGCACTCATCCAGGCAAGTGGAGAATAAATAACGGAGATGAAATCATTCACCTGAGGGGAGATTTGGCAAGTTATAGTGTAAAGACAAAACATAGTGCAGGATAACAATAACCAAAGTACAACAGGAATGAACAGACCTACAAATAGCAAATAATTCCATGGTGAGTGTGATGTGTGATAAGTATAAAACAGAGACATTATGTTTTGCACTCTATAAATTGCCTACAAAAACACATGTCTTGTCAATATTGTTTTAGTCATTTGTTAGAATAAAAGTTTTAGGATGTGAATTCTTTCAGCTATCAATTGGAAGTTCCAATCTCTTTAAAAGTTGCATCACTACAGACATTGTGGTAACTCCATTTTTCACTAAGTGAGGAAAAACTTCCATGGGTCAGGTTATTATATGTGGGATCGGTGTTGGTAGAAGTGATAGCATTAGCTGTTCTGACTATTGTTTTTTTTTGTATGACAGAGTCAGCAACAGATATAGAAAATTTAGGGCAAAAAAAAAGCAAAGTCATTGAGAGCAAGTCAGAATTATGAATATATATATGAATATAAATATACATATATAGAGAGAGATATAAAGCACTGTTAAAATGTAGCTGACCAATAAAAAGACAAAGAAAAAATATTGCTATATCACAATTGTTACCGTTGTCTAGCAACAATCAGTCAGACAGAAAGCAAGAGATTCAGTGTAACTGATGAGCCTAGGAACTCTGTTTGCTCAGAGTCAGCTAGAGAGAATATATCTTATGCCAATGAACTAGCCAAAACAAACAAGGACACGGAGTCTTACCTGATTTGCTGGCAACGTTAAAGGATATTTTGTACATAAGTTGCAAAAAATATCGGATAAACATGTACTGAACCTACTTCGGGTTAAGCAAAGGATTATCATATAAAGCAACGCCTTTCCAGTTAATAACATGCACATATTTGTCATTTTCCTTTATTTAATTGAGATTCATTTGTGTATGACCTGTTTGGAACACTCCGCATGTAAATTATCTTTTTATGCTGAAGTTAAAGGATAAACTGATTGAATCATTGATTGAATTTGTTACTGCTCTAGTGAATGATAAGAGGACTGTTTGTAATAACATGCAGTATTTCTATTAAATCTGTAGCAGCAAACAGGCAATTGGGAGCACCAAAGCTGAAAGCTGAATGGCAAACCCTTTAAACAGCATTGGTGTAGGGGTCATTGTGTAATTGACAGATGATCAACTGTCTATGCTTCTTAGGGCATTAACAGGAATGATGAGCTCAAAAATGGAAACTTGAATGTCAAATCAGCGTTTGGCACTAACTAATTCCATAATCTGTTCATTATCCACGTCTTTTACTGATTTAGCTCCACAGCCCAATCTCGTAGCCAAAAAGCTTTGAATCCATTGAATAATCACAACACAGATAGAGGTCAATCTGCCAGTTGTATGTGGAGGAGCAATTCACCATTACTATTCCCCAGCTTTCTCCTTGTCCATTCTTCCTTTTCGGCTAATAACCCAATTCCCTCTTGAATGCCTCAGATGATAATAAAATAATACGGGGTAGACAGGAGTCGGCTTTTCCTTTGGTGCAGGGATCAATGACCAGGGGGTATAGATTGAAGGTAAGAGGCAGGAGATGTGAAGAAAAGACTTTATGACCCAGTGGGAATCTGGAACTCATTGCCCATATGGGCAGTAGAAGCAGAAACCCTTGTAATATTTAGGATGTACTTAGATGTGCACTTGCGATGCTGAGTCATACAAGGCTATGGGAGAGTGCTGCAGAATGGGATTAGAAAGATGTTGTGAAACTCAAAATGGTTCAGAAAAGATTTACAAGGATGTTGCCAGGGTTGGAGGGTTTGAGCAATAGGGAGAGGCTGAATGGGTGGGGCCATTTTCCTTGGATTGTCGGAGGCTGAGGGAGTGACCTTATAGAGGTTTATAAAATCATGAGGGGCATGAATAGGGTGAATAGCCAAGATCTTTTCCCCAGGGTAGGTGAGACCAAAACTAGAGGGCATAGGTTTAAGGTGAGAGAGGAAATATTTAAAAGGGACCTAAGGGGCAACTTTTTCATGCAGACGGTGGTGTGTAAATGGAATGAGCTACCAGAGGAAGTGGTGGCGGCTGGTACAATGACAACATTTAAAAGCCATCTGGATGGGTATACGAATAGGAAGTGTTTAGAGGGGTCAGGGGCCAAATACTGGCAAATGGGACTAGACTAATTTAGGATATCTGGTCGGCATAAACAAGTTGGACTGAAGGGTCTGTCCCCGTGCTGTAAATCTTTATGACTCTAATAGTTTGGTGTTTGTCCTCGGCCTTCATGGACTTGATGGGCTGAAGGGCCTATTTTTGCGCTGTAGATCTATAGGATCCTGCCCTCCATCACATTCTAAGGTTTTGCACTCCAGATCCTACCCACCCACTGTGCAAAATAAATGCTGTCTCCATGACTCCAAGAGTCATGTTGCTGTGCAGTTTTTGCTTGTCTTCCAATAAGCACGCAGACTCGCCCTGCAAACGACTTATAACAATGCACAAAGTTAACACTGCTCACCTGACTGTTTCCTTTGCACATAGAGTGTGAAACAGAAACATTGGTTCTCTTTCTCCCTCTCCATTCTTACAAGCAGCTGTCACAATAGAGAGGGACAGGCAAACTAATGGCCACACAATGAGGACTAAGTGACTGAGTGAAGAAATAAAATTTTGAGATTACCTGTGAAATGAACATAACAACAATGTCTAGATTGCACCCTGAATTTGAACACAAACTCTTTTATTTTGGTTTTATTTTCATTTAAAATTCTGTTGACTCTGGTGTCCTGTAGGGTCACCCACCTGTAAAGCAATCCTAGAATGTAACCGTCATATTATCTTGCACAGTGTTGGGAGATTCCCCTATAGTTACAGGGTTACAAGGATTGTTCCAGGTTATACATGGAGCATCAAGATTTCAGATCTTTTACTGCCAGTTACAAAGATACTATCAGTGAATTACTTTGTTGCCGCTTCTTATGAGGGGAGTGTTTTCGATTTTTTTTTGAGTTACCATTGATGATGAGACATTGGTCCAATTTTCATGAACTCCTGTTGCATTCTGTCTCTGGCTTCCCCCTACAAATTCTTCCTTTGCTGCTTCCTGGTTCTCAGTTTATGTTCTTGCTTCTAAATTCTAGGCTAGTTTTCATGACACAATCTCTAAACGCCATCACTCACGCTAGATTATTAGATAAAGGATGATGTCCCTCAGCTCATCATGAGGGGGAGGCAATGATGTAGTCGTATTATCATTGGACTGTTAATCCAAAGACACAGATGATGTTCTGGGGACCTGGGTTCAAATCCTGCCACGCCAGATGGTGGAATTTGAATTCAATAAAATATCTGGAATTACAAATCTAATGATGACCATGAATCCATTATCAATTGTTGGGAAAACCCATCTGGTTCACTAATGTCCTTTAGGGAAGGAAATGCCATCCTTACCTGGTCTGGCCTACAAGTGACTCCAGACCCTCAGCAATGTGGGCAGTTAGGGATGGGCAATAAATGCTGCCTAGCCAGCAACACCCTCATCCTAAGAATGAATAAAAGGGAAAAAAGACTCACCACCAGTCACCCCTTTCTAATGAGAGAGCAGTCCTCTGGGTCTATGGTGACTCTATTGCCAATCTCTTGTTGTTGTCACATTTGCCTGACAACTCTTCTTATTTATTGAAATATAATCATACATTTTATAAATGCATTAATTCATTTTATTAATCCTCATTATTTTTCACAATTAAAGCTTTGTTGAATTTAAAATTAATATTAAACTTTTCTGAGTTTAAGTTTTATTTCTCCATTTTCAAAAAGAGACAGTTCCTTAATTTTGCATTTTTTTTCACAGCTAGAATTGTAGTAATTGTAATGAGGTCAGCCAGATGGACCTCAGACCATATGAGTTCCCTGATTGGGGCTGTTAATCTAGTCTAATAAGGGAGCCCTGGCTGACAGATATAAACAATTAAACATTCCATGCCCTGTTTTCACCTGGTCACATACACTGCAATTCCATTAATGGGGAGCTTCACACTCAGAGATATGGAATGAGGCACTGGTGGATGAATTTTGGTGCTTTTCTTTCGAGAGGTGGATTGTAAGTATGAGGGTTTGGCTCTCTCAGTGTAGTTTATTGAACTGAAAGGCAGTTTGGATGACTGAGGATACATTGGAGGGGGCACAAGGGTTAAAATCACAGCCTAGCCAAGGATCAACACCTCCCAATTTTTCTTTACAATAAACACCGCATGCATTAAGTCTGACTGCTAGACATATAGAGTCATCTTAAAACCATCACAAGGACTGTTCAAGGCAACTTTAAATCTATAACACAGGGCAATCAATCATTGGCAAGTCTTAACACCCTTGCCTTAACTCTTGGTTCCTCATTTGCAGTCTTGCAAAGATTGCAGACGGGAACTTTGCCTGAGTCTCAAACTAAAACTGAAAGGATAAGCTGAAAGCTAGGATTTGAGAAGGAGACCCCAAGCCCTAGTTGGAGATGATTTCTCTAAGATAACTTCTGTTTGGCATTCATCTTTTTGTTGTTAAATATTCGGAATAACTGCAAAAAGAAATTCTTTTCTTCAAAAATAAGTTTTTTTTAACTCATTCACGGGATGAGGGCATTGCTAGCTAGGCAGCATTTATTGCACATCCCTAATTGCCCAGAGGGCAGTTAAGAGTCAACCACACTGCTGTGGGTCTGGAGTCACTTGTAAGCCAGGCCAGGTAAGAATGGCAGTTTCCTTCCCTAGAAAATGTTAATGAGCCAGATGGGTTTTTCCCCCAACGATCAGCAATGGATTCACAGTCATCATTAGATTCTCAATTCCAGACATTTATTGAATTCAAATTCCACCATCTGCTGTGGTAGGATTTGAACCTGGGTCCCCAGATTAACAGTCCAGCAATAATACCACTTGGCCATCACCTCCCCGAATGAGTATAACAATTTCACCTTGGATGGAGTGGTTGGATTTCAAATGTTACAGGTAAATAGTATAATAACATCAGCAGGTACTGAATATCTTCTTGAAAATGATCACATAGCTAGAAGATTTCAATTTGTAATGTCTCATATGTATCAATGCTGCACGCCCTGTTGGAGTTACGGTCAGTTTGACTTGTTGGTGAGCTTGCTGCTGATTTTGTGGGTCAGGAGCACAGTTGGTTGGATGGCTGGTTTGCAATATAGTGAAATACCAACAGTATTCATTCAATTCCCACACTGGCTGAAGTTACCATAAAGGACTCTCCCTTTCAACCTCTCCCCTTGCCTGAGGCATGGTGACCCCCAGGTTAAACCACTACAAATCATTTCTCTCTCATTAATGGGAGAATGGTCCCCTAAGGCTATGGCAATGTTCCCAAATGGAACAAAGGGCAATGTCCAGGTAGAGGGGTGACTTATTCAAGTAGTGGGATTTTCATTAGTAAATCTTGGGAGCTGTCTCTACATCCTAGTTTGATACAATTCATTCCCACCGTCTGTTTTAGAGTCATAGAGTCACGCAGCATGGTAACAGACTATTCAGTCCAACTTGTCCATACCAATCAAGTATTCTAAACTGAACTACTCCCATTTTCCTGTGTTTGGCCTACATCCCTCTAAACCTTTCCTATCCATGTACCTGTCCAAATGTTTTTTAAATGCAGTCGTTGTATCCACCTCTATCACTTCCTCTGGCAGCTCATTCCATACATGCACTGCCCTCTGTGTGAAAAAGTTGCCCCACAGGTCCCTTTTAAATATTTCTCCTTTCCCCTTAGACCTATGCCCTCTAGCTTTGGTCCCCCCTACCCTTGGAAAAACACCTTAGCTATCCACCTTATGCAGTGCCCCTCATGATTTTATAAACTTCTACAGGGTCACCCTGCAGCCTCCGATGCTCTAGGGAAAAAAGTCTCAGACTATGCAGCCTCTCCTTATAACTCAAACCCTCTAGTCCCAGTAACATTCTTGTAAATGTTTTCTGGACACTTTCTAGCTTAACAACGTCCTTCCTTTCGAAGGGTGACAAGAATTGTATGCAGTATTCCAAAAGTGGCCTCACCAATGTCCTGTATAGCTGCAACATGACCACCTATACTCATGGTCTGACTGATGAAGGGAAGCGCGCTGGTAATAAATACAACAAATTCATTTCAAAATGAAATAGTGGCTTTGTTTCAGTGAAGCCCATGCCATTAAGAAAAAAGAAACTTTTGTTCCAATCAGACAATTTGGGTGGCACGGTGGCTCAGTGGTTAGCACTGCTGCCTCACAGCACCAGGGACCCAGACTGTCTGTGTGGAGTTTGCACATTCTCCCAGTGTCTGCATGGGTTTCCTCTGGGTGCTCCGGTTTCCTCCCACAGTCCAAAGATGTGCAGGTTAGGTGGATTGGCCACGCTAAATTGCCCATAGTATGCAGGGATTTGTAGATTAGGTGGGTTGTAGGGGGACGATTTTGGCTCCGAAGGTCAATGCAGACTTGTTGGGCCGAAGGGCCTGTTTCCACACTGTAGGGATTCTATTCTATAAAAGCTGGCTTTGTTTTAAGGCAAGAGCAGGTGACGATAGCCTTCAGACTTTTGAGACATCAAAACTGGTGACCCCGGGGAGAAACAGGAGTTATTGTTTGATTGAACTTTAATGCAACTACACAAAACTACAATAAATCATTTGTCTGGATGGTTCAATGCTCACTGCAGTTTAGTGCATTTTATGACCAAATATTGAAAAAGCTCATATTCCCGGAAAAATTCCATTTAAAGCTCCTTAATAGATTCGCTTACACACATTGAGAATGCTGGCTGCAATGATATTAAGTGTAACCAGTTAAAACTGGTTTCCTATCATACAGTAAAGCTTCAGTTTGCGCTGAAAGCTCTTTGTGAAATGATTTTTAAAATTTTTTTTCTACTGCAGGCATTCCTAAAGCCGATTTTACCCGCAGGCTTTGATGAAGGTTTAGTAAGCACAAAGTTAAAAAGCCAGGATTAGTGAGAGAAAGTCACGTGAATAAATAGAGTCCTCTTTGCACAGCTCACAACCACCAGCTTTCAGAAGGTGTCTACACTGGAAGTGGAGGATGAATGCGGCTCTGATTGTATTTACCATTGTTAGTTTTGTTTCAGCGCAGGAGACAAGGCTGAACGATGTGATTTCAGGGCTGCAGAAAGCAACTCTTTTCTTCGAAAATGAGTATGACCATTTCACTTTGGATGGAGTGGTAGGATTTCGGATGTTACAAGGTGAGCAGCAGATGAACAGCGGCAGGTGCTGGTCCTGGGGGAGGTAGGGCGGCGTTGGAAGTCAGTCAATCAGAATATTGTCTGGGTGTGTGAGTGTTCCTACTCCACTGTGATTATCCAGTAAGTGACACAGTGTCATCTCTAGCTGTAATTGACAGAAGGGTCTCGGCCCGAAACGTCAGCTTTCCTGCTCCTCTGATGCTGCTCTACACCTTGTCATCTCAGGGAAATAACCCAGTCGGCTCCAGCATCGCCGTGCTGTGGAAGTGTCACTCTACAGGCTCACACAGTGACATTCATACTGTTTGTGGGGGGGTCGGTTGACCTGGCCGAAGGCGAGATGGGATCATTAAGAGGCTGGAGTTCAGACGGGACGGACAGACTTGTAGAAAGTTAAGTGTCAAATAAAACAGACGAGGTGATAATTTTGAACAGTGAAAACGGGCTGTAGCATTCAGCAATCGTGTGCTGGGTTGTAAAGCACATACAGCGATAGAACTGAAGACAAATTATGATTTTTGCTGTAGGATCTTTCCGTGTTCACGAATAGGACACGGTGCATTCTCAACATCCATTTGTAATTGACTAAGATATAACGCCGACTATTTTCAATAAAATATGAATAAAAAGAAACTCGTAAACATTTGGTGAACTGCAGCCTTTAGACTAAATGGATTTAAAAAAAATATAAATGTAGATTATTTAATATTTCATGTCATAAATGAAAATAATCAGTTATAACAGGACTATTTAATATTTACTCTTCCCGTTCTTTGCGCCAAGTCTTTGTTTTAGTCACAACATCAAATAAACAACTCACCAATCTTATTTACCACACTGTGTGTGACACACACGCACATTAAGCCTGAGGGAGACTTTGTAATGTTTTCCTGTACTAGGATCCTGCATATCAATTTGATCTGTCCTGTTCTGGTGCTGTCTGTTTCTCCCCCAGGATTTCATGCTTTTTGGTCTTCCTGATATTCTCTCCCGGGTCCCATGCTCACAGTGGTGAAAGTACCTCCTTTTCCACTACTTAGGAACTTTGCAGCCTGAGGAGTCAACAGTGCATCCAACAATTCAAACCATGAATGGGGGGAGGTGATGGCCTAGTGGTATTATCACTAGACAGTTAATCTTGAGGACCTAGGTTCAAATCCCACAGTGGCAGAATTTGAATTCAATGAATATCTGGAATTAAGAATCTCATGATGACCATAAATCCTTTTGATTGTTGTGGAAAACCCACCTGGTTCACTAATGCCCTTTAGGGAACGAAACTGCCATCATTCCCTGGTCTGGCCTATATGTGACTCCAGACCCACAGCAATATGGTTGACTCCTAACTGCCCTCTGGGCAATTAGGGATGGGCAATAAATGCTGCCTAGTCAGCAACACCCTCATCCCATGAATGAATAAAGAAACAAAAACACTGCTCTCCAATTTGACTATAACCCCTTCCACACACTCACACTTGCTCCATTAGTGGTAGCAGTTTGTTCAGTGTAGCTAGTCTATGTTCTGCTATTAACAGCTACCACTAACAAATATTCTTCATCTATGTCTCATCTTAACTATCATCAGCCACTCATGTTCCTTTTGCTCCAAGGCATCTTTCCCATCTGCTGCTCCTCCCCTCATTTAGGACAACATAAAGCCATTATATTTCCAGCCAGCTTCACTTCTGACATAGACTCATTATTGGACTCAGAACATTAAGTCTGCTTTTCTTTCCACCTATGCTGCCAGACCTGTGGTCTTTCAGATTGGATTTCGGAACTCCAGCATCTGCAGGACTTTACTGTTAATGAATCAACCCACTCGGTTTCAGACCAGGGGGATATATAGATTGGAATCAGTGAGGGCAAAGGATCCTTCCCTTAAGAGTGAACCTGTTTTCTTTTCCACAGCAAAGAGAGAAATTGAGTGTGAACGAACAACCGTCAATTTTCCACCCAGTGACAAAAATTATGACCTGCCCCAAACCATCAAAATATATTGAAGTTTATTACACTACGCAAGCAACAATAGCAAACAAAAGCAACATGTTACAGAGATAACAAGGTGTAGAGCTGGATGAACACAGCAGGCCAAGCAGCATCAGAGGAGCAGGAAGGCTGACGTTTCGGGCCTAGACCCTTCTTCCAACATATTACAGATACTAGAGGTCTAAAATAAAACAGAAAGCAAGGGAGAACTTCAGAAGGTCTGGCAGCATCTGCAGAGAGAGAAACAGCATTAGCAGCTCGAGTCAGTAACTCTCCTACACAACCAACAAAAGTAAAGCTTTTTGTTTGAAATTGCAGACGCTGTTGATAGTTTTGGCCATCAGACTTTGCAGTAGTTATCATAACATCTGAGACTGATGCTGAACATGAATGTGTCCTGTGGCGATGTTGTGGCTTTAAGAGGTTATTTTGTCCTTTTTTTTAAAGAAAAGAAGAGAGGTTTTAAGACAGAGGTGCTGAGCTATCTACTTGGAAAACCAGTAAATTAAACAGATTGTGAGGCCTTGGGTTTTTTTTTAAATTGGAATAGAAGCAGCATGGCTGGGTGTGGCTAGCTCTCACAGACTAGGATTTCTATTTTTCTTTTAGCTATTAGGTTTAGATTTAAGCAGTTGCTGTTGGAGTGTCAGCAAGGTAGAAGCTGCTAGAGATTTGAAGAAGTAGAACCTATCTTTACTCTTACAGCTAGAAACTGGGGTTTCTCTCTGCTACTGGGTTACCTGTGAGACGTACCTATTTTCTGAATTTGCTGTTTTGCCAAGGGGTGTGTTTACAGGATGTTGCTATATTGGACCAGTTAGTTAGTAACAGTTACTGTATCTATTATTCTGTTAAGTTTTCCAATAGAGTGAAGTTATTCTAAATTCTCCTTCCTTTTGTTGAATTTTAACTATAGTGTTCGAATAAATTGTGTTTTACTTAAGGTCGAATAGTTTTGGAACATAGCACTTTGCATCGGTCCTTAAAAATAAGAAAAGCTTCAGGGTCTAGGCTGCCTTCTTAAAATCTTTTGAGGGGTTCTGGTCTGGTCCATAACAGTCCAGTTCTGTTTTACTCCCACAGCTCACCTCGAAGACACATTAAAGGGATGGTCACTGTCAGGACCTGAAGCTGCCTCACAGTTCAAGAAGGTGAATGATCTCATAAGAAGACTAGACTTCACAGCAGCAAAAGCTATCGAAGCAGTTAAAGTGACTGACCCTGTGTATTTTAATGGTAATTATCTTATGTGTGCTCCAATTTGATAATCATTTTCATCATATTCCCAAATGTAATTCTTGTAAAAAGAAATCAAGAGCAAAATGAGAGCACTGTCACGCCTCAAGGATGTTGCAACTAATGTAAGGACAGGTTTTATGTGACTCTTATCATAGTATCAATGAGATACTAATGTAGTCTAATGTCTCCAGTTTAAACACTCAACAACTTATGCAGTAGCAGTGGAGAGTAAAGGAGATGATGGGATGAGGTTTCCTGGGCCAAGGTGCCATTGGGTATGGAAATCTGAGTGGCACCTGTATGGCATTGTCATGCTTTGACCCAGTGTTCTCTGACCTGATCATTCTTCATCCGATTTCTGTGTGTCACTGATTCCATTCAGTCACTGATTTGTTCCTAGCAGAATTACATCTGTTGTCAATGCAAAGATTTCATGAAAATTGCCTCATCTTGTTCTGCCTGTTTTTTTTGTAGATAATTCATTCATGAAATAAGGACATTGCTGACATTTATTGCCAATCCCTAATTACCCCTTGAGGAGGTGGTGAGCTGTCTTCTTGAGCCACTGCAGTCCTAGGATGTAGACATGCAGTGTTATTAGGAAAGAATTTCTGAGATTTTGACTCAGTGACAAGGAACATGGTTCCAGGGGCTCAAAATAATGTATTCTTCTCCAGAGCACTTCTCTTGAGATTTCTTACTTGTTGGAATATATCTATTCTATGCATTCTAGAGATATTTGCCTAACTAGTCTGTTCAGGGATGTTATTACACACCTCTGGAGCAGGTGGGACTTGAACCCAGGCCTCCTAGTTCAGAGGTAGGGACACTACCATTGCTCCACAAAAGCCCAAATAATGTATTTTTCTTCTGAGTACTCCTCTTGAGAGTTCCTTACTTGTTTTGAATCTACACAAGACATATTTTCTTAATCGACCTGTTTAGAGATATTCTGCAGCAGGTTGGATGTGCACCAAGGCCTCCTCTCTCAGAGCTAGGGACACCACCACTGCATAACAACAGCCCTTGTTCCAACTCCCATTTCTTATCAAGTCATTTGGTTCAGCTGTATTAAATGGTGGAGCTGCCCCAAAAGCTCAAATGTTTGACTTTTGCTCCTTTTCCTGGTGTTATAGTAACAGGGATCTGCTTTAACCTCAAGTTCTGCTTTTCCTTTCCATAGGATTTCAAACAGTACTGCAAGTTGATTTTTGGAGTTTTAATCCCCAGTGGATAAAAACAGACATCAAACTGGTTTATCCTGAAGTGAGGAATACAGAGTGTTTTGGAGAGAATATCAGTGACCGATGTATGACCCAACTCCTGGGTACTTGGTATGTCTTGTCTTTGAATTCTACAAATGTTCGACGTCTAGAATGGAAAATGAACCTAAAACACTACAATACTTGCATACAATTAAAACTCTGTAAAGTTCTTACACGTCTACAAAAAGTAAATATTTTTAACGAGTCTCTTTTAATTTTCTAGAGGCTACAGCATGCAGAATTCTGTTCCATGGTGAATTTGGGCATTAGTGTTTGGGTTTATAATTTGTTCTCATTCATTTGCGGGATATGAATATTATTTGCAAGGCCAATATTTGTTGCCTGTCCCTTTATTGCCTTTGAACTGATTGGCTCTCTGGACCATTTCAGAGCACAGATAGGAGTCAGCTGTGGGTCTGGAGTCACATGCAGGTCAGACCAGGTATGGATGAAAATGCTTGAATCTATCATCAGGGAAGAAATAGCAAGACAGCTAGATAGAAACTTTCCCATCGGGCAGATGCAGCATGGGTTCATGAAAGGCAGGTCATGTTTAACTAATTCACTTGAATTCTTTGAGGACATTACAAGCACGGTGGACAATGGGAAACTGGTGGATGCGGTGTATCTGGATTTCCAGAAGGCATTTGCAAAAGGCTGCTGCATTAGATAGAGGTGCACGGCGTTACAGGTAATGTATTAGTGTGGATAGAGGGTTGGTAACTAACAGAAAGCAAATAGTGGGGATAAATGGGTGTTTTTCTGGTTGGTAATCAGAGGCTAGTGGTATGCCTCAGAGATCAGTGTTGGGACTGCAATTGTTTACAATTTACATCGATGATTTAGAGTTGAGCACCAAGTGTTGTGTATCAAAGTTCTGGTCTCCTCAACGCAGAAAGAATGTACTGGCATTGGGAGCGCAGAGGAGGTTCACTAGGTTGATTCTGGAGTTGAGAGGGTTGGCTTATGAGGAGAGATTGAGTAGCCTGGGACTATACTCATTGGAATTTAGAAGAATGAGTGGGGTTCTTATAGAAACATATAAAATTATGAAGGAAATAGATAAGAAAGAAGCAGGGAGGTGGTTTCCACTGGCAGGTAAAATTAGAACTAGGGGGCACAGCCTCAAAATGAAGGGGAGCAGATTTAGTTGAGGAGGAACTTCTTCACCCAAAGGGTTGTGAATCTGTGGAATTCCCTGCCCAGTGAAGCAGTTGAGGCTACCTCATTGAATGTTTCGAAGGCAAAGATGGATAGATTTTTGAACAGTAAAGGAATGAAAGGTCATGGTGAGCGGGTGGGTAAGGGGAGCTGAGACCATGAAGAGATCAGCCATGATCTTATTGAATGGCAGAGCAGGCTCGAGGGGACAGATGGCCTACTCCTGCTCCTATTCCTTATGTTCTTATTTCCTTCCCTGAAGAACATGAGTGAACCAGATGGATTTTTAGTACAATAGATGATGGTTGTCTTGGTCATCGTCATTGAATTTAATATTTCAGATTTATTAATTGTAGTTCCGTTCCACCAGCTGCCATGGTGGGAATTGGACCCATAACTCTAGTCTCTGGATTACAAATGCAGTAACAACATTCCATGCCTATGTATCCCTGTTTTTTAAAAAAAAAATGCAGTTTAATCTCTGTAGCCTGGTGCTCTAAATGTGATAAGCAAGGCATTGTTTTCAATGTTTGGTTTAGTGATTATACATTTACAGGGGCTTTGCATTTCTCTCTTCCTTGCCGTCAAATATAGTGCTAACCTTTGAATATTAACTTTTATCTCATTTGTTGAAGAGACATACAGCTCAGTTCCTTAACTTAGCCTTTTCTATTCACTATGTCCTTATTTTGTGTGATTGCTTTTCTGAGTTTCGATTGATTGACTGAGATTGGAGATAATCAGAACCAAACTTTTGTATTTTCTCCTTCTGCCATGGTACACTTGGGCAATGTAGCACCCGGTGAAATTTGAGAACAGCAAAGGATTTGGACAAGATATACACAAATTTCCGAGGACTCTTTTCAGAATGGGGTTGGACCTAGCTTTCCCCTGCCACAGAATGTGACAATGATCATTCCTCTCCCCTCTCTCTGTGATTGGGTTAGGATCAATAATTGATTGTGGATCATTCCTGATGTCACCTTTAGTACACTATTATGGGGAGGTTTGGAGTTTAGTCCATCATCACAGTTTAAGCAGATTCATTGCCTTTGGAAATGGGTAAAATTGTCTCCCTTTCCATTTTACGATTTCTGAAACGTACAAAGGTTAGGTGCAAATGATATAGAAATATATTTCTTTTCATGTGATAGTAACACCTTCAATTTATTAGCACCTATCATATGGAAAATATATTTCATAGAAGTTCAATCTAACAAAAATGGACATTGAGTTACAGAAGAGCCATAAGGAGGGTCTTGAAAACAGGGAAGGATATAATTAAATGCTTTGGAAGGGACTCCTGAAACACAGGTACTAGGTTGCTGAAGCCAAGTCTTGCAAGGCTGAAGGGGGTTACAAAGATAAGAAGGGGCAAAAGGGTCAAGAGGATAAATTTGGGCTTGGTAAGACCAGGAATTAATGTATTTTGATAAACACAGAGTGGATGGATGAACAGAGACTTTGTTAATGGTAGTATTTAGGGATGTGTGTTTTGAATGAGTCAACGTTGATCGTGAATGGTAATGGGAGATGAACAGGCGTCTATGAATAAAGCATGAATAATTGTCCCAGGGTTGATAAGGTCAAGATTTAAGGTTTCACTGGCTGATGGGATGAGGCAGGGTCCAAGGAGCGGGATGTTGCAGAGGTGGAAATTGGTGGTCAGTGTAATGGCGAGAATATGGACCCTGCGGCTCAGCTCAGGGTTAAATCAGATGCTGAGATTACCAAGCAACTGGTTCATCCTGAGATACTGTCATCAGAGGAGGCCATTCAGCCCATCATAGCTCATCAAACCATGAAGGGAATGCATATGAGTGGAAGAGAGAAACTAAGTTTGCATTGCTGTGGCAACTTTCATGATCTCTGGAACTTGCTGTACAACCAATGAGGTGTCACCCAGCAACTGATTTGTGCACAGTAAGCTCCCATAAACAGCAATATGATAATAGCCAGGTAACTTATTTTTGCTGCAACACTGGTGAACAAACCTGCCTTGAAAATAGTGCTTTGAGATGTTCAGCTTCCAGCTGAGAAAACAGTCAATGTCACAGTTGAAAGGCAGTGTCCCTGACGGTTCAGTGCCCCCTTAGTCCTGCGCTGAATTAGCAGGCTAGATTTGTGGATTCAGATCTTCGGAACGAGACACAAACCCACAAATCGTTGACTATGTGATGCAAGTGCTATTGCTGAGCTAAGGTGAGGACTAAGGAGAATGCTCTCTGCTTTCCATTGTTTGATTAAAGACCCTGCAGCAACAGTCATTAGTGAGCAGTACAAGTTGAATACAAAGTAGCAGCAGGGTTGTGAGCAGTGGAGATTGTGTGTCATTAGTGTACATAACCTGCCATTCTGGTGAATTATATCACTAATGAAAAATGTGCAAATATAAGGTAGAGACAGGACAAAAAGCAGATTTCAGGACTGTTTGAGGCAGAAAACATCACTGGAGACATTCCAGCCTGAAGATCGTAGAATCCCTACAGTGTGGAAGCAGGCCATTCGGCCCATCGGATCCACACCGACCCTCCAAACAGAATCCCAACTAGATCCCCACCACTACCCTATAATCCTGCATTTCCCATGGCTAATTGACCTAATCTAAACATCCCTGAACATTATGGGCAATTTAACCTGGCCAGTCCACATCTTTGGACTGGGAGGGGAAACCAAAGCACCTGCAGACACAGGGAGAATGTGCAAACTCCACACAATCAACCGAGGGTGGAACTGACCCTGGGTCTCTGCTCCTGTGTAATTTTTTATTCATTTGCAGGATGAGGGCATCCTGGCCATGCCCATCCCCAATTGCACCGCCAGAGGGCAGTTGAGTCAACCATATTGCTGTGAGTCAATAGTCACATGTCGGGTGAGTTTCCTTGCTTTAAGGGCATAAGTGAACCAGATGGGTTTTTCCCCTGACAATCAGCAATGGATTTATAGTCATCATTAGACTCTTAATTCCAGATAGTTATTGCATTCAAATTCCACTATCTGCCGTTGCAAGATTTGAACGCAGGTCCCCAGAACATTACCTGGGTCTCTGGGTTAACAGTCCAGTGACCATACCACTAGGCCAGCACCTCCCCTATGGCTACAGTGCTAACCACTGAGCCTTTATACCACCCTTACATTTAAGGGAGTTCACTTTTAAGGACTCCATGTGCTGTGTGTGTACAGTTTTGTGGTGCTGCCAGTTGGTCTACCAAAGGGTTTGCAAACTGCACACACAGAAATCAGAGATAACAAGGTGTAGAGATGGATGAACACAGCAGGCCAAGCAGCATCAGAGGAGCAGGAAGGCTGACGTTTCGGGCCTAGACCCTTCTTCAGAAAATCAGAAATCAGTTGGTTTGTAGTAATGTCTGCTTCCTAACATATACTGTGCTTTACTTTGTTTTAAAACGAACGCAAGAAGTTAATCGATCCCTGACAAGTGATTTACTATGAGATCATTATGCAACATATTTAGGGGTCTTGGAGAGCACAGGAAGGACATTTTTAAGGAGGGAATAACTAATAATAGTTATGTAAGGGATGTAGGTGGTACCTAAGAGGAATGAACCATTTATAAAGTCACAGTGCAAGGAAATCAGAAGGGAAGAAATTCAGTGGGAATAGGGCACAAGGCTATAAATATCAAAATAATGCACTGACTCCTAACAATTGTATACTAAATAGGTGGAAAGAATATAAAACAACTTTTGTAGCATTTTGAGCAGGAGATTTATCCATCTCATCCATTTTTCCAAACACCCCATTAAGTTCCTGAACCTTTGGATCTTTCATCAAGCAAAAATTTTCTGGATACAAATTCTCCAGAAAATTTTGTACAATTCAATCGACTCCTTGGGCACTTCCTCTCGGGAGTGAAGGTCTACTTGGACAAAATGATCTTACAACATGGCTCTTCGAAAGCTGAGTTCTGACAAAAACACAGTGGTTAAATATTGTCTCATTAAATTGAGCAAAACAGTCAAAACATGCCACTTTTTAACACAGATCTCATACCCCACTCTAATTCCTAGCACATCTGTCTGCGTGCAGTAAGCTTTTAGTAACCTTTTGAAGAGATATATTTCTTGCTTTCTAACCTCAGCCACAACAACGTTTAATGTGCACATTCCACATTTTCACTTCTACATTGTCTTATGGTTTTACACTTGCTGTGCTCACCCACTGATGCCTGACTCCTTTTGGATTATTGCATATTGATGAACAAATCTTCTCCCAGTTTGGTGACATCGCAAATTTAGACACTTCTCAGAATCCCAGAATTGTTACAATACAGAAAGAGGCCATTCAGCCCATCATCTCCACGCAGTGGTTCTGTTCCCTAGTGCGAATCTCCTGCCTTTTGTCCACATCCACACACACCGTTTCTAACCAAGTAACCATCTCATGCCCCTCTTGAGTGTCTTGATTGAACCCTCCTCCACCATATTTCCAGCTAGTGCATTCCACACCCTAACTGTGTGAAAAAAAGAGTTTACATTAACGTTAGCCTTGCTTCATTTGCATGAGACTTTAAAATCTGTGTCCTTCTGGTTATTGTTTTGTATTCCTGCTCCATTTTTTTCTCAATCCCATTGTCCCACTTGGGCTTCTATCTCCCCTTCATATCACCCAGAACAATGATTACACTCTTTAACAAATTAACTGACTTCATTAAATAATTTTTAAGGAAGCATAATGAATTTGAATGTTTATTGTCCAATAGCTGTAATTTTGATTGTTGAAATGTTTTTAAAAGGCAGGTTTAATTTATTTGATCCATTAGTTAGTGGGAGCAGCTCTGTTTACCTCAGCCATACCTGTCATAAATGTATACTCCTCAATCAGTTCATTTCACAACCATACTTGCTCCAAGGAGCTTCTCTAACCAAACCTTGTAGGCAAAATCTCCATTCCTGGAACTATTCTGGTAAATCTCCTCTTCATGCTGTAAAGGGCCCTCATATCCTTCCTAATGTGTACTGACCAGAACTGGACACAATTCTCCAGTTATAAGAACCCCTACAGTGTGGAAGCAGACCATTCAGCCCATTGATTCCTCACCAACCCCCTGAAGAGAATCCCAACCAGACCCACACCTCTACCCTGTCCCTGTCTTTCCTCCATGGCTAACCCACCCAGCCTGCACATCTTTGAACACTATGGGTAATTTAGCATGGCCAATCCACCTACCCTGCACATCTTTGGACTGTGGGAGGAAACCGGAGCATGCGGAGGAAACCCATGCAGACACAGGGATAAATGTGCAAAGTCCACATAGACACAATCACTCGAGGGTGGAATCGAACCCAAATTCCTGGCACTGTGAGGTAATACTGCTAACCACTGAGTGACTGTGCCAG